TACTTGTTGAGGATTGTGAAAGTTGTATAGACATTTCTGATATATTGCTATACTCTATGATTATGACAGTTGGTTATATAAGCTTACCCTTACATTTGTCTGTACTGGTGCGTGTGCTGCAATGATCGTATAGTGGTACGTGAGCATATGTGACAGGTAATGTATCTACTTCTCATGCTAGAAGGTCTAGCTGAGGGATGTTTGGAGTCATCATGCTTTTGGAGAGGATTGTAACTTTATTCATTTTGTTAGTTTAGGCCTTAGCAATGAGTCTAGACTATTTAGCTACAATTTTCAAGAAATATAATTTTTGTTTAGAAATTTATATTTTGAGCTCCATGCAGAGTAATCGTTGTAAATACATATACTTATATAAACTTTTGGATTGTATGAAAATGTCTTTGGGGCTTTGTTATTCTTTTGAGATGTTGAATTTAAGTTCTGAAAAAAAAATATTTCAAATTAAATGTGAATTATATTTTCTATAATATCATATTACACTATCCCATGAGTAAATATATATATATATATATATATATATATATATATATATTTACACAACAAATTTTAACATCAAAACTTCTCTCAGTATAAGAGAATAAAAACCACGATGATCAATTATAGAAAATCTTCCACCATGTAAAATGATGGGTACACCAACAAATTTTTCATGACACTTTATGGGTCAACAAATCAACATGAACATCACCTGTAGGTATAAATCTAACACAATGAAATTTAACAGTGGGATAATTGACAAGACAAAAGAGAAGGTAAAAAGAATTTGATCCTTGAATAATTCCTCACTTTCTTCTTCCTTATAGTTGCATCATTTTTTTCTTCCTTTCATATCTCTCTAGGTGCTTAAGTTGTGCACTTCTTCTTTTTTAGGCATTATTTTTCTTTTTTTTTTTTTTTTTGATAGGCAAAACAAATCTTATTAAAAAGAGTTTAAGGGGAACTCAAAACCCATATACACAAAACTACTTACTCAGAGAAATAAAAAGCAAAAATATACTTATACAAAATTAAGACAGATGCAATTTCGTGGGTTCAAATACCAATCAGCTAACATAATAGCTTCTCCCTTACTAACAAGTGATAACCATTTCCAGGATCTCAGAATAATAGAATCTAGGACTTCCCTCTCATCCAAAACACCATTGGAAAATATAATTCTATTTCTATGCAACCATAAAGACCACACTGTACTTACCCAAATAATTAATAAGCATATTCCTTCTCTTTTACTACAGCTAACACCAACCCAAGAAAGCAAGTGAGTCGATAAATCTGAAGGCAGAACCAGTGAGAATCCAAGCCAACGCGCAGTAAAGTACCAGATTTGAGATGAAACTGAGCACGTTAAAAATAAATGAGTTGGAAGTTCCTCCAAACCATGACAGAAGCAATAAGTTATATCATCAATTTGAACACCACGATCAATCAGTAAACCTTTACAAGGAAGTGCATTCAACAACAATTGCCAAGAAAAAACCAAACACTTAAGAGGGACTTTCCCTCTCCATAGCCTTTGCAAGGCATCTGCCGTACACTGATCTACACTATTAGGACCACCAAAAAGTTCAAATAGCCATGAATACGCAGATTGCACTGAATAACAACCTGAAGAATCTGCCCTCCATACCCATTTATCTTCTTGTAGTAACTTAATAGAAACTCCATCCACAAGCTCCAACAAAAGATTAAAGCTCAATATCTCATGTTGAAAGAGTCCTCTTCGCCAACTAACATTTCAAACCCATCTAGTGCCATCATGAAAACCATTCTCCAATACACATGATTCAGCATTTCTCGCCACTGCAAATAATCGCGGAAATGCTTCACACAATCGCACCCCTCCTACCCACTTATCTCTCCAAAAGAGAGTGTGAAAACCTGCACCCACACTTCTATCAAACTTCTCATCCAGCCATGAATTCCCTTGATGAATAACCTCCAGCAAGCTTTAATCCAAGCAAGCTTTAATCCAAAAATAAACCTATATTTTTATTATTATTATTATTATTATTATTATTATTATTATAAGTCAGTTTGGAACTTAAAGGAGTGACTCGCATGACAAATCTACTCTCACAACTTTAGTGGAGCCATATTTTGCCATCTTGGCAATAATAGGTCAAGTCTCAAGATTTTTCTTCAATAATTCCTTAGTCAATATATAAACATTATTGTCATCAATATGAAAGTTTTTAAGTTCAAACAATTTAGAATTTAACATATCTCATATCCAATGATATGTACACTAATATGTTTTGACCTTGACTTGAAAAGTAAATTTTTTTACTAAGGTGAATAAGGTTGGTTGTCACAATATAAAACACATTTAGTCTAAGTGAAATCAAGTTCTTAAAGGAAAAAATTTTCATCCTCAACAACTCTTTGTCATCAAATAACCTAAAATAGATTTATAGGAATCAATATCACCTCCATATAGGCAGTAGTATATCCAACCAATGTATAATCTTAGGTTCTTTGCAAAGTTTCAAATCATAGGTTCCTTGCAAATATCACATAATTCATTTTATAACATTCAGATGCTCTTTATCTAGATTTGAGAGAAAGTGCCTCACAATATTAATTGCATGACAATGTGTGATATACTATAAATCATGACATATATCAAACTCTTAACTATTAAGACATAAAAAAATCTTATCCATTCTTATCTTCTTACTCATCTCAATCTATTTAAGGACTCTTCAAATCTATCTTTCTTAAGAAAAATATACTTTTCTTGCCACTCTATCTTGAGTGACTAACATCCAATATTTACTTCACATTACCTAAGATTTGCTCTACTATTTCTTTTGCTTCTCAATTATAGCCTTATTCTTTACCATAATTAAATTATCATTTGCATGTAATAAAAGGACAACAAAATCTTCATAAAAATTTTTTTGGACAATCACAATGATATAAGAATATTAATAAAAGAGATTTAGTAATAAATAATATCTCAAAGAATTTAATTTTTGACTAAACTAAATATCATTGTAAAATTCATATAACTGATTTTACTTAAATGAATAAAGCTTGTTGTTTTATTACTTAAATTTAAATGAATTAAATTACATTATTTTAATTTTTACTTGAATTAAGTTAAAGATAGAATCAATTTGTGTTCACACGTTTAACTCAAAATTATACTATAATTTGTATAATATATTTTTTCTTTTTTATATTTCTTTCTCAAATATAATTTTGTTATAAATATTTATTTTTATAAATTTTTACTATGATTATTTTTTTTATGTAGACCATAAATTCAAAAAATGAAAATTATAATTTCACTATCATGTATAATATTTTGACACATAAGTGTTTATTTATTTAATTTAAATTTTAATGTAAATAACATTAAGACAACTTTAATTTATAAATAAAATTCTTTGATAATAGCTTTTTCATCTACAGTGTTCTTATTCAATTCCAACAAAATTGTTTCTAATGGAAGATAATTGTGATCTAGAAATAAAAGTATGAAAAATTATATCTTAAAAATTTATATATTTTATTTTTTTCAATAAAAATATTTATTATTTTTATATTTTAAAATTATTCAAAATATAATTGTGGATTGTTTGAGTCAATATACTAGTAGAAGTATAACAAAAATTGACTTTTATTTTCAAATAATCTTTAAAGATTATTTAATCCAAATATAATTTAAAATAAAAGTAACGCTAACGATGAAAAAAATATAACACAATTTCTAACTTAAGCTAATTTGAAGAGCTTCTAAAAGGAAATGCTAAAAACAAGTTGTAAAGAAAAGAACAATAGAATAATAAATTCAGTAACCATAGAATGATATAATGTTGTTTCAATGACAAATTTTATATATATTAAATATTTATAAGTATATAATTTATAGCTTTTCAAATATTATATTATATATTAAAATAAAGTTATTTGATAAGTATCAAATAATAAATTTTTTGTAAGTTTATCTACTTACAGACAACTTTTAAGCTAATGATTAAATTATGAAATTTGTTGTTTATAAACAATTATTAAGTAAAATAAATTAATCAAAACTTATTCGTAAATTAATTCGATTATTTTCTTAATTGTGTACTTGTTATAATTTATAATGATGATTTGAAATATTTTTAAATTTTTTAGTTGAACTATTAACGTTTTCCTAATTTATAATTTTTACAGTTAATTTATATTCTTCTGTATATTAGACACGTGTTTAAGTCACACACATTTAAACATAGTTTTTTTTTTTCCTAAATACCTAATTTGACCTATTAAGAATTTGTTTTGGAAGAGTTTGCAAAAATAATATATGATTTTTATAAAAGAATTCTAATTTATTTTAATGATATATTCTATATAATTTAATAAAATTTATTTTCAATTAGTCTTTCATGGTTAAAAATATATAAAATAAGCCATCATTTAAAAATATTGACAAATAAACATTTAATTAAATTGCATATTTAAATACACTTTGAATTGAAAATCACTTAGGAACTCAATTCGTATAGCTTAAAAAGTTGACTAATCTTAAAATAGGTAAAACTGAAAACAAAATGGTTGAACCAATCTAAAACTAATAAAAATCAATTTTAATTGGTTAATTTTTCTATATATACATATATATATATATATATAATAATACGTTAATAAGTTTAAAACTTAGACATTGATATTCGTTTATAAACTTTTATACACTATAAGACTGATAAATTTAATCTTTGATTTATTTAATATTTTCTTTATGATTATATAAATATTAAATTTTATATGATTTAAACATTTGTAAGGATGTTATTTAAAATTTGATATTTAATTATATTTTAAAATATATTATACTTTAAAATAGAGTAGTACAATAATGTATTTATTATTTTTTTATAAAATTAATTTATTTTATAAGAATCTTAAAACAAAATTAGTAACCTATTTCTTTTACTTAAAAAAAAAAAACATGTACTTACAATGTGAAACCGGAGCCTTTTCATTTTATACATAAGAGTACGGGCCAAATCCGAAGGGCAAGCCCAACAAGATTAGTCTACTTGTTGCCTAAGCAGCTACCAACATCAAAAGCACCAACACTCGCAGATTTTCCTAAACTTGAGTCTTTACGAAGCATAAGAGCTTGACTAGGGAGAGATTGGAATCACAGTTCAGAATTTGCACAGCACAGAAGCACAATGGCTAGGTACGACAGAGCAATCACGGTGTTCTCGCCCGATGGCCATCTCTTCCAGGTGGAATACGCCCTGGAAGCCGTTCGGAAAGGCAACGCCGCCGTCGGTGTCCGCGGCACCGATAACGTCGTTCTCGGCGTTGAGAAGAAATCCACCGCCAAACTCCAAGACTCCAGGTTCCACGTTTCCCCTTTCCTTTTTATCAATTTCAGATCCCTTTCCCTTTCCATCAGGGATAAATAAACGACAATACCCAAACCCTCAATTACACAATCCTTGTTAACATCGGTGTTCGTTTTGTGTCGTTTTACAGATCGGTGAGGAAGATTGTGAATCTGGACGATCACATTGCGCTTGCTTGCGCTGGACTAAAAGCTGACGCCCGTGTTCTTATAAATAGGGCTCGTGTTGAATGTCAAAGTCACAGGCTCACCGTTGAGGATCCTGTTACTGTTGAATATATAACTCGTTACATTGCAGGTCTTCAGCAAAAGTACACGCAGAGTGGTGGTGTGCGACCCTTTGGGCTTTCGACCTTGATTGTTGGGTTTGATCCCTACACGTGGGCGCCTTCTCTGTACCAAACGGATCCTTCTGGAACCTTCTCCGCGTGGAAGGCCAATGCCACTGGGAGAAACTCGAATTCGATTCGCGAGTTTCTAGAGAAGAACTATAAGGAAACTTCTGGGCAAGAAACTGTTAAATTGGCTATCCGGGCATTGCTTGAAGTGAGTTTGTTTGTGAAAGAATAGTGCCTAATTTTGTTATTTACCTATGTTCTTTGTTTGTGTCCTGCTTTGCTTGTTGCATGTGTCTGTATATTAATGTCCTTAAATGACTTGGGAGGAATGGTAAAGGGGTTTTTGATGTGAGGACTAAATCGAAATTGAATGGAACGGTGTGATTTGATGTGTTCTCTTTGGTTCAACCTTTTTAGTGGAACCCGAACATACCATTCTTTTCACATTCTGTGCATTTCTTTTCTATTTTTTAAAATGTGCCAAACATAGAACAAAAGGTACATGATAGGTTTGGTCTTGTTCTAACTTGCCTACTGAATGCTATGGAAGTGTATCTAGTTCTTTGTGTTTGCTGGATTTGTAAACTGGAAGAAACCTTTGCAGAAGCAGTTGATTGCAAATTAGTGGGAGCTTTCGGATAGAATCTCTATATATAAGACAGATAGAGTGATAGACATTTATTTGCTTAATTTGGGTAGTTGGCTTGAATTGACATTTTTCACTTGTTTAGACTGGCCTAAACTACTTGTCTTCACAGAATTTAGATCTTGTCTCTTTTTTATTCTTGCTATAGACACAGTTTCTTGCTTATGAATAATAGTTAATATAGACTTAAAAGTTTCTTTGTAATACGGGTAAATAGCTTTATTCTTTTGGAGACTTATCTTTCCATGAACTTAAAACAAGAATCTTGTGCATTGATTTATGTATTGTCAACATATACCTGTGTTTTAACATATGATTCATATCTAAACTCTCAATTGCATTTTTTAACTTTCCTAGCATTTAAATCATTGTTGTTTGATACATACATGTTTGTAAACTATCTGGTACATTATTTTATACTTTATGCAAACAATCATGCCATTCAGTCTCAATTTTAACCATTAAATCATTTTTACTCAATTAAACAACTGTGTAGATTGTCATGAGAACTTTTTAGACGTCTAGTAGTTCCCATCTGTCAGATTGTTATGCGTTGATACATAATATTAACCTGTGAAGTCTTCATGATCTTTTTGTACTAGTGTGTAGGAGTGTATTCTAAACTAAAATGAATATATGGAAAACAAGAAAACTATGTAATGTATTTGTGAGGAATTTGTGGTTCACTTGGTAGGTTGAAAAGCTCTTCATTTGGAAAACTTAATAGAAAATAGGTGAGTTAGTGGCTTAGCACAGACATTTGGCAGGGTTTATGGTATTGTGGTTACTTAACTGTACTTTTTCTTTTCCCTTTTATTAAATTCTTATATATGCAAGCAATCTAAAATTGTCTTTACAAATAACTTAAATTATATGGATAGTAATATGCCAGTATGAAATTATTTATGGAATGTTCTGGTATGATACAATTAAGTTGTTCAAAAACTATTACAAAAATCCCTTTTATTAGAATGGATGATTTGGTATTGTCTTGCAACTTTGAAACTGAACCTTATGCTGCTATGCTCTGCAAACTCTTGGAGCTTAATTCTCCCATTTTTGTTTGACAAAGTTATAGTTTTGGAATTTTTGTTAAAATATTTCTGGTTTGGGAACAATAAAAGAAACAAACGGTTAGCAAATTTGTAAGATTGTTTAATAGGTAAGCAATGTATTTGCTTAACTGGTTAATTGTTCTAAAATTTTGCAAGAAATTCCTATGATATTCTTCTTTGTCCTTTGTATTTTTTTATGTCTAGGGCCCAGAACTCTTTAAGTGGTCCTATTTTTAGGTTGTGTTATTCATACGCAGCAAAGAGGCATATCTTGGGGTAATAGTATAACTGAGAAGATTGACAGTTGCAGACTGTTATTTCTGATTTGTAGAAAACTTTGTATTGTAGAAGTATGTCTACATCTGTACATTACTTGTTTGCATTGAAAGGGCTTTATGTACATGATATGTTTCGCATCAAAATTTTAAAAAATTGGCCACGTACCGGTGCCCCCATTAATACTTTAATGTGTCAAATTCCTAAATATTGTCAGACAAATAAAGTAATAAAAACTGTTAATTCTGATGGTTGTCTATTGGCTTGTATAATCAAACAGTGCAATGGATCAAGTAGTTCTGCCTATCCCATTGTGCAATTTCAGTACTACTGTTGGATAGTATTTCATTATGAATTTGGAACAGGATTTGATATATATACTTTTGACTTTGTCATCATATGTAACCAGGTTGTTGAGAGTGGAGGCAAGAACATAGAAGTTGCTGTAATGACTAAGGAGGATGGTCTGCGTCAACTGGAGGAGGCTGAAATTGATGCCATCGTAGCTGAGATTGAAGCAGAGAAAGCAGCTGCTGAGGCTGCAAAGAAAGCCCCTCCTAAGGAGACATGATTTTCTGTTTCTCTAGCTTTGTATTACGCGAACATTTTCTAGCTAGGCGTTGGCTGTACTTACTCGACCTAAAATTCATGCCATTGTGTCGTGAGGTTGGAACAGAAAACAGCTGGTGAGGCTGCAAAGAATACCGTTTTTAAGGAGACATTATTTATGTGACTTTTGTTTAGCTCGTGAATTGTTCTTGCTAGGTGTTTGGAACATAAAATGACTGCTTTATTGATCGAGTCCCATCATATAATATCGGTCAAATTAATTGCATGTCATTGTTTGTAATGTGTTTGGTAAAATTTTTAATTAGATGAAAGCTTATTCTGCTTACTAAAGTGCTTGTTCGATGTTCGATAGTTGTTAAAATTAGAAATTATTAACGTTTTTTGAAATGCTATTTCAATTAATATTATGCTTTTAGCTGAAAGTCTCTTTTTTAATTATTTTTATTCCCGTTATTTTTTTCATAATTTCTCTTTTGTCCTGAACTCAAATAATTTAATCTTTGTTAATAACAATTATAAATTATAAACAATATAATTACTTTTTTTCATTGAAAGATTATTTAAAATTTTATTCACACAAAAAGTTTAAAACTAAATGTTTTTAATATATTGTTGCCTGAAAGGAAAAACCCACGTTACATACAACGAAAAATGAATAAATGCTACGTCATTTCCTGCTTTCGAAAAGTAATAGGTTGCTAATTTATTGATTAATGTTTACAAACAATAATAATAATATAATATCTTCATAAATGAAAATAAAAAATTATCATGAAATGAAGATATGAAAATAAAGTTGAAGTTTTGGATGGGTTAGATTCGATCGGCGGGTAGAAAGGCATAATAGAATGATAAAAAATGAAAAAAATCAAAATTTGGCCCATGCAGGTCTCGAACCTGCGACCTTCGCGTTATTAGCACAACGCTCTAACCAACTGAGCTAATAGGCCAGTTGATAAATTTGTTCTTATAAAATTACTTATAGTATATTATTGCGGATACAAAACCTGCCGACGATTAGAGGAATGCAGGGAAGGGAAAGTCTAATTGCTGGGTGCATTTGTAGCTGAAATCATGAAAGAAGATTACGAGGTGCTTTCCCTTTCTCGATAAATCCTCTTTATTGTTTTTCTTATTTATGCTTTCAGCTTTTTACATCATCCAATCCCCTATTCATGTTTCTCATATTTCCCTCAACCCCTTTAAAAATATGTGTTAACTTTCTTCTTTGAATTTTGAAAATAAGGAAAAGAACTCGTTGGTAACATCACAAAAAAAGCGTTTATTGTTCCTGCATCGTCACACGATTGAGCGTTAGTTACATTTGTGATTTCTGAAAACTGCTTGGAATTTGTCTCGATATACTTGGATCAGATTCTCTTGATTATCGCCAAAAAGGTGTGATTTTTGGTCTCTTTGTCACAGCGAAATGATAACTATGAGAGAATTTCACTATTTTGGTATGATAAATTAGGTTAATGTATGGCAGTGGTTAGGTATCATTCACAAGTACTGTTATCTTTTGCCTTGGTAAAATCCCATTTACCAAAAAACCTAGAAACACCTTAGAATATCCAAATGTGTCTAAAAGTTTGCATCTAAAACACCATCGTGTGCCTATGAGGGTTTTGATTGAAATGCATGGATATTAAGATTATGGGTTCAATGCAGCAGTTATAGATAAGCTATCCTTGAATGTTCATGTAGATCAACCTCACAATTGTGTGTTCTTTTCCATGGTTTTCAACTTTCTGAAGTTAGTGGGGCTCCCTGTTAAAAAGACAAGATGAGGCCATTTTTTTATCCGTTTCTTATATCTTTTATTAATTGAAACTTTGCATTTATTTTTATTTTTTTTTTTTGTACAAAGCTATGATGGTAATTCTATGATTATTCAGAGACTTGTTTGAAACTGAGTGACTTTGTGTTTGAATCTCATCCTGATTTCTGGATGTGTACTCCAATTGTCTTAACAAATGTATTGATATAAGTATACACATTTGATTGCTTGCTGCAATTTTGTTTCTGGATTTTCATTGTGTATATTGTGTTTTGTTTCCCATGCTGAGCTATCTTTTTTAGTACATCGGGGCTTTGTGGTGTAAACACTAGAAACATAAATATCAAGAATATTGCTTGTAAATGGTGTTCATTAATGGAAAACCATTAAGTTTAAGACTTTGTTTGATTTCTCATTTCACACAATATCACTCAACTAATGAAATGACAGAAAATTTGGTTTTGAATATTAGCATTAGCAATTCCTTAATCATCTGAAACTCCAAGTTACCAGCAGCTCTGAGAAAACATTATTTTGTTCCCTTCCCCTTGGGCTTTTGATATGATTAGTTATTGTCACTGCAGTTATGTATATGCAACTGCTCCATGAATCATTTATGTAAAAGAACTGAATTTGGCTTCAGGTAGAAGAGAAAAAGCAAGCTGCTGCTGATGTGTTGTTTCATTATTCAAAATTTGTGTTGGCGTGCATTGGAAATCGGGTTCGACCATGTGATTTGAGGTTACATTTGATGAAGGTATGAGAACATTCTCTGTTATTTTCTTATTAAGAACAGCATTGCATATTTTGTTAACTTGAAATATGATGATTCTGTATGGAAGCCAAAAGGATTTTGTCTTTACAATTAGCATGTTCATATTCTCCATGATACATGCTTTCTAACTTTTCATGGCGACTATAATCAATTTCAGGAGATTTCGGGTTTGCCCACTTCTCTAAATAGGGAAACACCACAGACTGCAGCATCTCCTGATGCAATGGGTGAGTCATCAAGCTCAGGAACAGCAAGACTAGACAAAGTAGACAGTTTCCGAGCACTATAGTTGAGAATTGGTGACAACCATCGTTTTTTGCTTGAGGCTGTGGCATAGTAGTAGGTGGTCCTTGCTAAATAGAAGCACTGTTGTCCCTTATAATAGTGCAACTTCTGTTTCCACCTTCTATGCATATAGCTGTCAGATAGATCTTTATCACAGTTATTTTGTTCTAAATTTTCTTTAGGATTAATGTGGTTCAACTTTGGTTCATATTAGTAAGTCAATGCATCTGTTGATTCAATTCAAGTTCACCATAGGATAATGCGGTTGAACTTTTGACTTCATAGGATCTTGCAAGTTTGAATTCAGATTGTGTGGCTCTCAAAATGAGTGAAACTAAAGTCAAATCAGTCATCTTTTGTAGATAAATATTTGTTGATGATGTTTATTCCTATGTTGATAATCTTGTTTATTTAGGCACCATTTGTTATTTTGTTTCTGGTGAGATAATCTTCAGAAAATATTCTTTATCGTTTTTTATTTAAATATAGCATCCGTTGTTTTTCTCATCTGATTCGAAGATCACCTTAAATGCACTTTACACTTTATATATATATATATATACAAGCACACACATTTCTGAAAGCGTTATCTATGGTCTTTTCTTGTAAGGAGGATTCCTGGGAAATGCCTTTTTTCTTTTTAAAGTTTTAATTGTGTGAGATTTTTGTAGGTGTTATGCTTTTTTCCCCCTTCAAAATATGATTTTTTAATATAAAGATTTCACCAAATTATTGCTATTTTAGGATCTTGAAATTTCATAAGAAAGTTTTGTCAACATTTCAATAAATTTGAAGTATAACTTATTTAAAAGTTTTGTTAAGATTGTGTCTGTTTGGGTTAGGCTATCAACACTAAGCTGATTTTTTATTTTTTTTTTTGTGGTCAACTTAGTGTGTTGTTCACAAGTTTAATTTTAGATTGTATTTATATGAAAGTTTTGATTTAGTTCTCATCAAAGTAAACATTTCAGGAGAACTGAGCCAACGGTTAAAATCCCCTAAATATGGTAAAATATTTGGTAAAGTAATAAATTTATTGGTGTGTATAATTCCTAAACCATGGATATTAAATAATAAAAACTAAACAAAATAATTATATTAAAATAATGCCATTTAATGTCTTCAAAAATTAATACAAGATTTTTAAATTTAATCTTGGAATTCTTAAGTGATACTACCAAAAAAATAAATATACTTTGTTAGTATAGATATTATTAATTATTATTTTTTAATTATTCTCAACTATATAGTTCCATATTTATCTGATCTTAAAATTTTTCTCGTTTTGATATATGTTTCATTCATTCATGTATCTTTTTTTATGGATGCTGCTAAGAGTTATTTTTTGTTTGTGTCTTATTGCATCGGCAATCATTTCTCACGCTTATTAGCGTTAAAGATATAACACACTAAGCTAGAAATTTCTCCTCCTTCAATGGTTCTTAGGATGTTATGTATGCTCACTAGCTTTTGCTTGGTTCGTTCTCGAACCACACCCTACAAACAATATAATATACACTAAATAAAATTAAAATTAAAAAAAATATTTCTAACATGTTATTATAACTATTGTTCTTATTTTTAAAAGCTAATTAGAAAATTATAACATCAACTATTAGGTGCTTACATAAATAACAATCATTTTTTAAAATTAGAATCAAATAAATAATATATTATATATGCTAGACAATGCTTTCTAATAATCTAAATAAAATTATACTCTCTTTTATATTGTGTAAAGGATTAATCTACAATAAAAAAAAACTTAAATAAATAATTATGTTATATTAGTTTTAAAGTATTGCACGTTGAAATTCACTTAAAATTAAATACTATAAATGTATAATAGCAAAAAATACTATAAATGTAATATTTAAAAAATAATAATAAACTTCATTAAACTCAAGTATATATTCATTTATAATGAGGAATTACTCAAATACTTATGCGGTGATTTTTTTTATTTTATAATCAACTCACTTATTATAATCAGATCAGACATTATTTTTATAAAAAAATCATTACCTTATGTGTTGATGTGGCAGTAATTAGTCCTAAGTGACACAATTTAATCAATTTGATCTATTATCTAATTCATTTGGTCTCTTATGGGGTGTAATTTTTTAGAAACAATGTGGTATGAGTGAGTAAAGTTATATTTTAGGATTAGAGTTAGGACAGTGTCACATCAAGCTGTTCTCGTGTAATTGAACGCGAATATATGTGTTCGTTGCATAGCATATGAGAGGAGAAGGAGGAAATTTTCCACAAGGTTAGAGCAAAATTGTTTTGACATTTGAGACAATTGGAAGGTATGATTTTGTTTACAATTTAAATGCTATATCATTTTTTGAATAATTTTAAATTATAAGTTGATGGATTTTGCATGATGCAATGGTCCTGCCACTCCTGCGCATGTAGATCTTTGGTGGCAAGTGTTTTTTTTGGGTCCTACAAACATGTTGAATAGGTTTGAGTTACAGGGTTTTGCAGGCTTGTGGTCCTGAAAAAGTTATTGAGTTCTGAGTTCACGAGATCTGTATTTTTTAGTTTTACATTTTGTACATGTTTAGGTTCAAGTCTAGTGAGTTGCTTGATGTTTTGTGTTTACTTTGTGTAGCAATGGAGGGACATTTTCCTGGGCATGTTTACCATGGGAGTAACTTTACAATTGACGAGAAGATGAAATACTAAGGATATATGTCTCTGTAGAATTGGATCTTGATGGGTAAAAATATTGCTTAATTCAAAGATTTACTAAGTAATTTTTTGTTTTGGAAGAAAAGAGTAAATCTAAAAAACATGGAAAATAATTAAATTTGGTATAAGAAATTAAGATTGAGATGGGAAAAATATCTAATATTAAAAAATTTTAAAATAATCAAAGTTAAGATTTTAAAAGAAAAAATCTTAACATAAAAGAAAACATTGAAAATAATTATTAATTTGATATTTCTTTTTTGAAAATGTGCAAATAAATTTTAAATAATTATGAAGTCATGGGTTATATATAATAAAGCACAATATGAAACAGTGTTGCTGGTCAAATAAATAAAGTATGTTTGAGTTCAATCATCGTGCATTTCCAATTCATATTTAAAATATTTTAATTAAAATACAGGGCCAGTCTATAATATAAGCTATTGTATACTATTACACAATTTTATATTATCTTATAATTGAAAATTAAATTTTGTAATAATTATTTTTAAGATGACTTATAATTATTAGTATAAAAATATTTAGATTTTTCTTAATCTATGTAACATTACATAAAATAATAAGTTATGTATGACAAATTTTTATTAAAAATTATATAATTTAATACAATTCAATGCATTAACATATTAAATGTTATAATTTTTTTTATAAAAGTTTACTGTATATAAATTTTTAATCATGTACAATATTTGCACAGGTTAAAAAAATCTAAATATTTATAGTGAGAATATATAAAATTAAACTCCAAGTAAATCTCATTAAATTTTTTATCTGAAATTTTGAATTAATTATTATACACCTAAATGATTCTTAATTTTTAGTCTATACCCAAATCAAAATAATTCACCAATTTTTCAGATAAACAAAATGGGTCGTTCTAGTTCCTCTAATTAGTGGAGTTTTGAAAATGGGGCAGCCATTTGGATATTACCTTAAACAAAATCAGTACCCGAATAACATTTTCTAATTACCCAAATCAACACGGTTAAATGTTAATGAATGACCCAAATGTAGTTAATACCAGACCCAATTTTCTTCCCTAACGGCTACTTTTTAACGGCTACTAGTTTTCGAAAATTTAAAAACCTGAACACACACGTTTCTCCTTCATTCTTCTCTGCCACTCCTCCTTCCATCACTGTCCATTTTCTTCTCCTGGAGAAAAGGCAGATCAAATCAACCCCACCATAGAAACTTTATTATTCTTTCAGTTATATCTTTGAAAATGTTGCAAGAAATGTGGAATGCTCCCCCAGGTTTCAGACCCTCCAAATCTGCACCTTCTTCTCCGGCAAAGCCTCTTGGGGTTCTAAGAACTCGCTCTGAATCCTTCCATGTGACACACAAGGTCCCAGTTGGTGATACACCTTATGTCAGAGCAAAAAATGTTCAGGTAAATTAGCATCTTCTTCATGAGTTCTTTTATTGGGTACCTTTATTTTATCATGTTTCAACTAAAGGGCATGTCTCATTTTGTTTGTTTAGTTAGTGGATAAGGACCCGGAGAGAGCAATTCCACTGTTTTGGGCAGCCATTAATGCGGGCGACAGAGTGGACAGTGCTTTGAAAGATATGGCTATTGTGATGAAGCAGCAGAATAGGGCTGAAGAAGCCATTGAAGCAATTAAGTCACTTAGAAGTAGATGTTCAGATCAAGCCCAAGAGTCCCTTGATAATATCCTATTGGATCTTTACAAGGTCATTCATTGACTACAGAAGTTTTATTTGTTTATTATGAACTACTGAAGTATTACATTTTTTGAATTCAATAAACTGAAAAAGTCACATATTTTTAAACAGAGGTGTGGGAGACTTGATGACCAAATTACTCTCTTGAAGCACAAGCTGTATTTGATTCAACAAGGTTTGGCTTTCAATGGCAAGCGCACAAAGACTGCCAGATCTCAAGGAAAGAAGTTTCAAGTCTCTGTGGAGCAAGAAGCCACTAGATTGCTGGTAAAAAAAAAAAAGGCGCTTATAAGTTAACTTTTTGTCCTCTAATGATTTATCCTTCACTTTCAATCTTTTGAGTGGCCTAAATGAAGCTGAGTTGAACTTGTTTAAATGTAGGGAAACTTGGGATGGGCACTGATGCAGCAGAACAACTACATGGAAGCCGAAGAAGCGTACCGGCGCGCGCTTTCAATAGCTCCAGACAACAATAAAATGTGCAATTTGGGCATTTGCTTGATGAAGCAAGGGAGAATTGGTGAGGCAAAAGAAACACTGTACCGGGTGAAACCTGCAGTTATTGATGGCCCTAGAGGCTCAGATTCTCATCTTAAAGCCTATGAAAGGGCACAGCAAATGCTCAAAGACCTTGAGTCCGAGATGATGAATAAAGGAGGGGATAGGCTTGAACAAAGCAGGCTCTTTGAAGCTTTTCTTGGTTCTTCATCAATTTGGCAACCTCAGCCTTGCAAGGACCAAACATGCTTTACAGCAACAAATTCAGCCAAAACCCATGATGAGTTTGCAGATGAGAACATCAATTCCAACATAATGGCACCACCACCACCACCACAACATAAAGGTAGCAAACAAGTTGCGATGTTGGGGAACTCACTCAATGTTGCAGCTCCACCGTTTTATGCATCAAAATCATCCATGTTAAGAGAACCAATGGAGAATCAGTTCTCAGAGACCCTTAAGAGAACAAGGTCTGGAAATGCCGCAGGGTCCATGAGAGTGAATAATGATGTAGGGGAGATCCACAAATTGCATGCGGAGTTGGGGGTGCCAGAGAACAACAAAACAAGAAGGCTCTCATCAGAGGATGCTGAAAAGAACAAGTTCACAGATTTGTTACCTGACAACGAGGACTTTGAAGAGGCCATTCTAGCTGCAATTCTGGGACCCTCAAATGAATCAGATAAAACCGCCGCCGCCACCGCCACCTCTGGAATTTTTCAGAGGAAAACTGATAAGAGGCTTAAGGTTTTTCAAGATATTACCTTATCTTTGAGTCCAAGGGCCTGAACAACATTTTAATTCAATAAATAAGTTCACAATAACACAGTTTTAGGTTGGAGATAAACTTGGTCTCCATTTTATTTAACTTCAATTTCCTGTAGAGGAACAAATCTACTTTGTAGCAGTTTTAGGATAGGATAACTATTATTGGATGTCTCTTATTTCGTTGTCACTATCTATTTATTTGTAATGCCTTCTTGTAAATGAGGCACATCATTGACTAAAATAAATTCATGAGTTTATGTCTGCCTTGAAATCAAATGCTAACAAAATACTGAAAAATAACTTTTTATGGAATATTCTACTTTTTAACGGGTAAGAATCACAAATTCACTTGATTCTTCTGGTCCCTCTTGTCGGCACAATATGAGGTATTTTTTTCACTTATGATATATTATTACAAATTAACCCAAAATGGTTTCACGTCCAACGTTAAAATTTAATTCAGTTTCGCCTCAAATGTCACTGCTCCAGTCCAATCCCAGGCTTGTTACAGCTATTGTTGAAATTTTTTAGTACCAATTATGAGGTGACAAGTCGTTGCTAGATTTTGCATTTCCTTAAATTGGAAGACGCGCATATATAAATAGTGAAATTTTAAATTATTTTAATATAAAAAACATAGTATAAAAAGGAAAATCATATATTCTTTTAAAAAAATACAAAATAAAAAGACATAATAAATATCTCTCCTCTGCTTCACTTTGTTGCTACTTGTCCTTGAAAGAGTTTCGACAACTATTTAACCTCGTGATTCATATCATCTTTTCATTTATTTTTATTACGTTCTATCAAGAGAAATACCAATATAAATTTATTTATTTTATCTTTTTCTCTCTTACTATTTTTCAACAAATAAAATTTTCTCTAAATGCTTTGATTAATTTAATCATTCTAGTCTTGCTAAAATACTCCAACCTAAACAGATTATTTTGTTATTTTATGTAAATTGGATATTGTGCGGACAAAACACAAATAAGTGTTTTATAATTACTGATATAGTATATTTTTAGTGAGTCCAATAGTAACAATCTCAAACGATTTGGAGAATGTTGCTACACAACTAGTACACAAATTGGTAATGGAAGAAAGGGTGTACTTACAAAAGATACTTCAATGCTCAAGTTAATGTTTATACTGGGAAAGTAAAACCAGGGAATAGATCATATATCTAAAGGTGATATATGATATGAGATAAGTGTATGTGATGTGTTAGCGCAACATGATCGCCAATGATTTTTGTCTTGTAACCATCAAGTAAGGGTGTAAGCAAGTATGGCACCCGCGAACCTAATGAATCCATTACAAAAAGAAGGTTGGTTTGAGTAATTGGATTTAAAAGGAAAATTCTAATTTTAATTCGTTTGTGTATCGAATTTAAACATTTGAAAATCAAACTACCCAAACAAAACAAAAATATATGAAAAAATCAAGATTTATATGATTATATTATTAAAAAAAATCTTATCAAAAGGGCACTACTAAGATTCATGTAGCTAGTATTGTAGTTATTTTTCTAAAATATTAGTATTATATTTGACTACATTGAAACATTGTTAATTCGTAAATTTCATTGGATTATGGTAAATTTAAAATTTTTTAAGAATATTTGCTAACATTAGATTATGGTTAATTCATAAACATTATCGATGTTCAAACTAAGCATAACATCAATATTAGGATTAATGAAAGAGGACTGTGGTCGTAGTTAAAAAGCTTTCATTGGAGAGAGAATATCCCTAATGAAAGGACCTCTTACTTAAGTGAAGAAGTCATACATTTAGAAGAATGGAGAAGCTGAACAACATATAAACAATAAAGACCCACAACTCATTGGCATAAGGAGAGATGGAAGCACAATTGTTATGCAAACCTAGTTTTGGTGAAGCATAGATGCTAACGAAGAATATGGTCATACTTAACTCCTACATCGCTGTGCTCAAATCCAGCATGATTGTGTCACGAATTGTGTTTCAATGAAGCACGTAAGTGCTAATGGTTTTACCATGGGCATGCTTGGTCAACTAAGCATAGGTGTTTTCATGTTAGCATTGCTCTACACCCTTAAATTTCTTGAACATAGCTTTTGACTTTGATTTTTTCCTTCAGAATGCATCCTTGAGTCTTTCTTATTTATTTTTGCAATAAAGAAAAGAAAAATATGTAAAATTGTTTAAGCAATTAAAAATTCAACTAAAACCTTACAAAATTTAACTGTGGAAAACAGATGTATATTTACCCATTTTACACCCCCTTTAACGTGCCTCCTTCTTCCAATGAGGAGCTTGCAATGGTGGTGTCAAGAAACAACAACAAAGGTCTCGTTCACGTTGTGAAAGAGGTCCACGACTACTTTCTCCAAAGCTGCTGATGCTGGTTCCCATGTTTCTTTGCTTCTACAAGTTCCAAGCTCTGCTATTTGTACTCACACTAAAAACAAGTAAGCCTCTCAAACAACCATGTCTCCCCTGTTCCATTTTTTTGTTTTTTTTCTCAAATTATTGTTATGGTTTATTATTATTATTATGGTTTTTTAGCCAGTCTAAAAAAGTACATAATTAAAAATTAATAAATAATAAAATTTATTAGAAATTCTAGATTTTACTATATATAATTTTTTATAATATGCTCTTTGGCACAAATTAAAAAACATTGTTATTATTAATAAATGATATGACTCTTAGTCATTTGAAGATGGATAGAGGGAGTTCAAGTAAAACTTCAAAGTAAATTACTTATAGTAAACAATATTATTTAAAAAATTTGATTTTTGATGGAATATGGTTATACCATTTGATTCATGTACTTTTTAGCCAGTAAGATAAAGCTTTTATTGATGTTGGTTTATTAATGTTTTTCTTGAGTTGCGTTTAGTACTTATTGGTTGCATTGCAGGTAAAGTGAACAGCTGTGGATGGAGTTTGAGTCCCTTGTTGTGGTCATGGGGTTCCAGTCCAAAGCTGTGTGTGAAAATTCCTGTTCCTGTTGCTGATTTTGGGGCTCTTGGTGGTGTAAGTGGTAGCCATTGCTCCACTGTGTAGAGACTTTACACTTGGGAGGGAAGAGGTCAAGGTACATTGATGCATACATGGATAGCTTTTGCTGTGCTGTTTTGGAAGATAATAATTAAAGAAAAAATGAAAAAAGTTTAAAGAAGGAGATTCTATTATTTTGGGCATAAGTTTGTTTGATGTGGGTCTAGTGAAGTGAAGATGTCTCCTCTTTACAACTAATATTCTGTCTGTTCTCTACTGTTATACTCGTAGTTTTTTGGTTTAACTTTGCATTCTTCGTTGTTTAGAAACTAATATCTGAAACGTTGAAGAGAAAATTACAGTTTCTTTTCTATTATTTCCATTAATTGGTGTTTTATTTTAATACATTTAATGATCTTCGGGTTAAATTAAGAATGTTGAGACCATAAAGATGGGGCACGAGAAGAAGGTGGCGCAGCTAAGGAAGCTAGATTTGCTGATTATGTAAAGAAAGAGAAGTTACAGAAAGAGGTGGAGAAATTGGAATCACAGATAATGGTTGCTTCACATTCTATTGAAGCTATAAATGCTAAAATCATCAAATTAAGGGAGACAGAGCTCTACCCTCAACTCATTGAGCTTGTCAAAAGGTTAGTCTACACTTCTAACTTTGGGTTTCTTGAGTCTCAAGTAGTCATGGGATGGTCTAGGGGTGAAGATATCTAACAAGAAATAATAATAACAGTAGCAATTTATGTTAATCACTGTGTTTGCATTGGTAGAATACGAGTAAGAAAAGTCCTCAGAAGGACATACTATATGTAGTGGAATTAGAATTTCTGTTGCTTTCAATTTGGTAATATATTGCTTTTGACTGTTTTTTCGTCTGATCTTACTTTGTTTTCTAACTTCATTTACTGTAGACAGTGCTGACCACCCTTGACCGTAACATGAACAATATGTACGACTAGAATCTCATTGTGATCAAGTTCCTTAGAATAAAGGTTATTGCTTCTAAACCTTGCGTTCAATTAACTTGCAGCAGGACAATTTGACGACACACTTGCACACAAGATCACTCTTAAACATATGTCACCTTCTAATTAATATTGAACCTACTTTATTTTTTGTACAGTTACACTTTAATTTCCTCTACTTTTAACTCTTATGTTGTTCAGGGATCAAGTAGTAGTACTCTGTTGGAACTAGTGACAGCTAGTACTTTGATTTGTGATCCTCGCCAACCAGTTTTGATTAAATTCCTTGTTTTGCTAAATTATCATTTTCCTCTACTGCATTGATAACACTTAAATAAATAATACCCTTAGAGCACTAGTTAAGGAATCAATAAATAGAATATGTTTATTTAATAAACTAGTTGGAAGCAGGACTTAGCCTAGGTTAGATAACATTAAAATTTGTCTTAGCATATGGTGTTTATCCAATTGGCAGATTGATGTGCATGTGGAGAAGCATGTACGAGTACCATCAAGTGCAAAAGCACATAGTTCAGCATATGGAATACCTCAGCACAATCCCATCAACTAACCCCACATCTGAGATTCATAGGCAATCAACTCTTCAGCTTGAGATTGAAATACAGCATTGGCATCAATCCTTATCCATCCTTTTCAAACCTCACAGGGATTATATCCAATCTCTCACAGGTTGGCTCAGGCTCAGCCTTTTCCAGTTTAGAGGAAACTCAAACTCACTGAAGAAAACTGCTAAGAAGTCAAAGATTTACACCCTCTGTGAAGAATGGAACCTTGCTGTTGATCAGATCCCACACAAGGTTGAATCTGAAGGAATTAACAACTAGTTGACAGTTATGCATGCTATTGTATTTCAACAATCAGAGGAACATAAACAAAAGAAGAAGCTAGATGCTGCATTGAAAGATCTTGAGAAGAAGGTTGTTCAGCTTCAATCAGTAGAATATAAATATGGCCCATGTTACATGATAGAGTGTTCTGATACCATGAGAACCAAAGTCCTTGTCACAAAGAAGCATGCTAAGGTGGAACATTTGAGAGCAAAGGCAGAGGAAGAGAGGACCAAACATGAAAATTCAGTCAGTGTAACAAGGGCAATGACACTGAATAACCTACAGATGGGTTTCTCACAATTTTTTAAAGGCATTGTGGGGTTTTCAAGTGTGTATGTGGAGGTTTTTGAGTCAGTATACAACAAAGCCAAAATTGCTGCAGTGGAGCATGATGCGAAGAGAATATTACCTCAGGAGAGTTGGCATGGATCTGATGATCATCCTTTTTCATAGCAGTTCCTGATAGGTTGATACACCTTTGCAAATTGATGAAATGAAAGAAAGCAATTTGATTCCCTCAGTTTGGAGTAGGTTCCTGATTCCACAATGGATGTTGCCATTAGCCGACTTTGTTAGGCAAAGGAGCTAGAAGCACGTAGCTTGATGTTCCAGTTGGTTTCAATATATTGTTCTGATGATATGAATACATACAGTTGAGAAAATTTGAGAATTAGAGGAAGTGCGTAACAAGGTTTTGCTTTGTTTTGGAACTGTTGAGTGCTTATTTTTTTTCCTGCTAATTTGTTTTCCATAAATATCCATCATTAGAATTGTTCAAGGTAGCCTAACTTAGGTTACTCCTTTTTGAATGGATTTAAGTCAATGCAAGTCTGAGCATATAAGCATTTCCTGGATAGTTCAAGGTTTGCTAACTTACGTTACTCCTTTTTGGATGAATTGTAAGTTCATGCAAGTCCCTGGCATATGTCGAGCATATAAACATTTCCTGGATACAGGACCAATTACCAAAATCTAATTTGGACAAACAATTAAGCTCTAGTCTTTTATTAATATAAAATGTTTTTGCGAAATGCTTAATACATAAATTCAAAGTTTGTTGATGGAATAGATGGCGGGCCCTGGACCATGAACCATGAAATGTTTTAGGATCCGTTTTATCAATCAATATCATCAAAAAGGTAACTTTATATTTCCTTCTCTCCTTACATCCCATTAAAAAGGTTAACTTTAAAAGTATTTGTCCTTTTTACAAGTAAATTTTATATCTTGGTGTTAAAACACTTGATTAGAATCTTCACCTAATCATTTAAAACTAAAATATCTACACAAAGAAAGATAATTAAAAATGCATATAATCTATAGCAAGGTAACTAGAAAAGTGGGGTGTGTAAAAATGTATTCAGTAGATGGATAGCATTTAGTTGAGCACCTTGAAAATTATATTCAATTCCCATTGATAAGGCCCATGAGCCCAGCTTAGTGATGAATGCTAAATGTCCAAATAGAATAGCAGTTGAACTATGGCCCTCGATATGAAAAGTTTAGTCCAGAAGTTAAAAAGGGAACACATGTTGAAGCATCAGGCATAGTTCGCTATTGGAGAGAAAGAGGAGCGGAGAAAGAAGGAAGTTAATAAGATTTTGGCCTTGGACTTGGTTGGGCAAGGTGATAGACATCCTTGTGTTTCTCGCTTTTTTTTCATTGTATTGTTACCGATCACGTAACCTTATATGCCTCATTACAGTAATTTTATTTTTATTTAAACTTTTTTCATGTGTATCATATTCTCTTAAGAAATGGCTGTTTAATTCAAAATTGAATGTACGAAACTACTGAATTTTCCTTTTGTTTATTTACTGTTTAATCTGCGGTCACCATCTAAACAAAATGCAAATTCTGCATTTCGTTCAACTCGTGTTAAAATTTTTCATCACAAATAATACTAATAATTTTATTATATACATTTTACGTTTTGTTTTTTAAAAAGATAAACTTGTTAAATATAGTGTGGAAGAAAAAAAAATTAATTTATTTCTCACCTAGCAAAGTTAAAAATAAAATTATAAAGTTGAAGCATTCATTCTAATCCAAACCATTTCTAGTCAGATCAAATTGGATGGATTTTTAAATTTAAATAGCTTACATCTAAAATTCAATCTAAATTTTCATCTAAAATTAATCCAATCAAATTCCGGAATATCACTGCTTGTCATTGCTAAACTCTACCATCTCCCCTCTTTCCCATGTTCGTTCGCGATGACGCTAGATCTCTCAACCTTAGAGGTCTTGTCCTTTTCTCCTCGAGATCAGATTCTTCAGAAACTTACACAGCATCTCTGCTTATGCTCTTGAATTCCATTAACACTCTTCTTGATCTCAAGGAAAGCTACAACTAAAGAAACTGCAGCTCCTATCCGCTAGTCACTTTCTCCATGAACAATATTAAATCCTTCATTTTTTATCAGCGACAAGAGATCAGGCAGATCGAATCAGTTGTTACGAATCCAGGAAAGAGAAATGAGAAATTGATAGAAACTATGAAAGAAACTGAACAATTTTATTGAATGACTAAGAATAAGAGAATGAATCCTCCTCCAAGAATTTCCCCTTTCGCAAATGTTTTTCCCTTCCCTTGTTCAAATCTCACATAATAAAGACCTGTTGAGGGGTATCAAACACGTGTTGGGGGATGTTTTGGTGTCGAAAGTGTCCCATACTTCGACACCTCAACAAATAGCAATGCTCGTGTTCACAAATATCTACTCATTCTGTGTATATTAATTTTGTAGAACTTAAATATAAATATATTTGTAAGTTAACAAAGTATATATTTACAATGAGCACATTCTATTAAGCAATGGTTTCCCAATCCCATCCCATCCCATCACCCATTGAGATTTGAGAGAACCAGTTCCAATTGGCATGTAATCAAAGCATGCATCAGAACTCACAAAAACTTGTCATTTCCTATGTAATGCTGCAGCCTCGATCAACAAAAGAGATAAAACAGGTAGAAAAATGTCTAACACAAAATATATGCATTAAAGGAAGATCTGCGAACTGAACAACCACATATATTACACGTTGCATACCTACCAATCTTCTATGTCATCATCAGAAGTCTCCCTACCTTCTTCATCTAAACTTATTTTGTCAAAATTAAAATCTTCCATTTCCAAGTTGAGTGATGATTCCGGACTTGGTTCATGATATCCACCATCATAAGCCCTCTTACCAAACAATTTAAGCATAGGCATGTACTCTGTGGCTATAATTGACATATGGTAAGAACTCAACCGTTTAGAGGCAGGGATTCTTAGCCTATCTATCTCATTCTGCAATATGAAGATCACGAAGAGAAGTCAAATTTTAAGAGTGGCGAGAAACAAAATCTAGATGATGAAATATTTGAATCTTCAAGTGAGAAAGCCACCTTGTATACTCCACCTTAGTAAGTAATGTATGAAGACAGAAAAAATAAAAAGAACATTCATACAAACAAATCCTGTAACTATCATATTCCACTGATGCTCTCAAACTCCAGAGTCCTTTCTTTCTTCTAAGGTAACAGAATGTAACAAATTGCCTACTTTCAAATACATCATAAAAAAAATGCAGGATAAGAAAATATAAAAGATACAGTAGCCATAATGGTTTACCTTGTATATTGATACCTTCTCAATCTGCCAGAGCTTTGGTCGCCGAATTGCATGCCACCTGTAAAAGTACAAAGATTTAAGTATAGCAGAGAAACATAATGCTTTGCCGCAGGGAAGACTTCATGCATACAAGTGATAACCTGGAGGATAGCGGATGAGAATTTCCAAATAGCACCCCCCGAACAGCTATGGATGCAGCAGCTGACTGTAAAACACTCTCTGCCTCGTTATAACTACACAGCATTCCCCGAAGTTTAGCAAGAAGAATATCAGCATCACCTAGATATGAAGATAAAGTCCATGCATCATCTATTGCCTCATCATTCAAAAAATCCAGAACTGCAAGAAATTAGCCAGAATTAGAAAGCTACTGGATTTTGGTTTAGAAAATAAAAAAATGAAATATATCATCTTCACTTTATAATTATTTTTTTCAATTTTTACAAAGAATGTCAACACCAAGCATATAGGAAGGAAATACCATTTTCATGCAGAAAATCAGCAACTGCACCAGGTTGCACATGGGCTTGACAAAGAATCTTCTCAGGGACATCCATTTTTAATGGTAACCTTGAAAATCTTTCTTGTATAGGAAATCCGTCTTGTTCTACCTCAAAAAAAATGAACTCGTTAAAAAGTTGCATAGCAAAGATATCTTAAGATTCAACATAACCTATTTATTTTGCTGGTCCTGCTCCCCATAAAGAAAGACAGACAAGATATGAAATTTAAATTTTGCTGAATTATTTATGAAGACACACCATAATGTGTTGCAACTCCAGTCTCCCTTTTATTGTGCAAAAATTTCCCCAAAGCATGAAATAGAGAGAGTGTCTCATCTCTGCCAAAGTGCAAGGAATATCCATCATCTGATCTGACAGGTTCAATGCTTTCCTCTTTGAATGCACGGGGAGAATAAGTAGACTGGGCCAAAGAATGCAGTAGATTTGGTTTCAGGCAGAAAAACTGTAAAGAAGTAATTGCATGTCGGATGTCACCCCCACTTGATTTTGCTATTAGATCAACATACTCAGCAGTCACATCACGCTGCTCCATCTGGCATATTTTAAAAAGCACCTTCTTCATAGTATTCATTGTAATTGGATTAAATGCAACCTGAAAGTTTCCCAAATTGAGTTTTGTATAAGTATTCTCCTACAGCACGACATTAAAAACTGGAACTGAATTCTTGAAGAATGTAACCTTACAAGCCCCAGAACTCTCTAGAGATAGCTTAAGTTCTTCCAGGCAACGGGCATTATAATCTGCTGAATCAACATTGCCATAGTCCGTGACCAATATTGCTGTGGGTATCTGAATTGAGTTCACCAAAAGGTGCAAGCAATCCTTAAGTCTTCCAAAAGCAGCTTTCCCATTACTCATGGGAAGGTCATCTATTAAAAGTATGATGGAAGGCTTTGACTCCCCAGAAAAAGTTGGCAGTAATCCATATTTCCGTACTCTCTCAACAAAATTCTCAAATTCATCCAACTTGGATGTGTATTGTGTCCCTGTCAATGAATCAGAAAAAAAATGATCATAATCAAGAAGTTACAAGTTTCAATCATTTTGATCCCCTCCCAAAACAAAAATAATAATAATAGCATCCATTTTCCAATTTGGACTTCAAACACAATCCACATTGTTATTTTAACAATACACCTTCAAAAACCCTTATTGTTTCACAGACAAAATAGACAATTCAACAGGAGAGGCTAAAGTGAATGCGAGTCAAGTTTCTTCTCATGCTAGCTCATCAGCATGCTGGCTTGACCCACCTGAGCCAGAATTATAAAGATGTTCTTGCCAAATTACAGGTGTAGGTGTGTTCCATCCGCACACTATCGCTCCCACATGAGATGCAATTACATTTACAGCTGCCTACATAATTAAAAGAAGAAATTCTTTAATATCAACATGGTATGCCTATCAAAGTTCATTAAAATAAGGTTCTTCATAACAATGTAGATTCCTATACATTTTTATTATATATTCTAGGGTTTATAAAAGTGAAGTGCTACTCACTAATAATTAAGTTAAAATCTGCATATATAAGAATATAAAAATAAAGAATGAAATCAAAACCAAAATATAGATAAATGAAAAGATTTTGACACCAAGCCAAACTAGCCTGAACTACCAAATATTAACATTTCTAAATAGTCCTGCATATCTGTGCCAGTACAAGAAAGAGGTTAAAAAGAAAAGGGAAGGGCTACATACAGATTTTCCAACTCCTGCCTGCCCACTGATGACAAGGACATTATTACTGTAGACACCCTGTAAATTTGACATAAAAAGAGAGGGAAGAAAAAGAAATTCACAATATGAATAGAATATAAACAACATAATGAGCATAAAGTTTAGAAAGAAAAATTTATAGCCATATATATCAGAATAACCTAGTATAGGGAAGCAAATTTCTAAAGAAATGTAAAGTCCAGACCTAAACACATCAGATGGAAAATTTACAAGACTCAAAATAACCCAACAGCTGACAGAAAATGACATTATTTTTTTTTCTACCAAGTGAAAACTTCCAAACATCCTTAAAATATTCATAACTCAACATTACCTTGTCATCAATATTTCATCTCTGTCAAGAAAGACATTATTTTGAAAGTTATGGAAATAAAAATCTCTACAAAGTTATAAATTCTATAGCTGGTGAAAACCAAGAGAACAATTAGAAGCACTAAAAATTATTATAATCCTACAGCTCTTTTCTTAGATTTACCTTTGAAGGTTTCAGCCTCTCCTCAAACCACGTCTTAACTTCTTCAACCTGCAAAGACAACAAAAGAGGGAAAATGGGAAGGTATTCAAATTACTACCAAATTCAAGAAGTTAAGAATCAGAGCCTACCTTTTTCTTGTGAACGGCAAGTTCTTCCAGCAAAAGGGGTCTGTATTTATCAACCCATAGCTCCTCTGCATAGTTCCTTAGAGTACCTGGCATAGCCAGTTAGCACTAGTTATAACATGTTAGAGCAGTATAAAAAATAAAAATAAAAATAAAAGATACAGAGCAAGAACACAACAATTGGGGGAAAAAAGCGCCAAATTTCAAATTTATTTTATTTTTTGTGTATGTTCGTGCATGAAATTGATAACTGAAGCAGCCAATTTAAAAAATCTTTACTGCTTAATTAAATAATTAATAAGTGGGAATTGTAATAAAATAAATGCATATGTACAACAAACTATGAAACTCGTTAAAAACTCAACCATTGAATTTCTAACCAATGGTTATAAATGCACTTTATTCTCAAAAGTGTATCCTACTCACGAGCTAAATCCATGACACTAAATTACAGTTTAAGGGATTAAAGTTCTCAGCATCATGTTAAAGCACATAAAAAAAAAAAAAAATTCAATAAAAAAATTAACGAGAAAAAAAAATAAAAACGTTTTAAACACCACACAGCAACAGCATACCAGCGGATACCTTTGACCCAGTAAACACTTCATTGAAGTCGTCTCCAAATAAGTCTATCTGCAATAAACCCAAGCCATGAAATTCCTCTTCGCTCAAATAACAAAAATTCAAAAGCAATAACAAAAAGCGCAACTAGAACTCACTCAGGCACCGCAGTGATTAACAATAGAAGTAACAACGAACAGGCGAAAACTGAGAAATTGATACCTCGCGCAGTTTAGAGTTTCGAGGCTGAGAACCCGAAACGCGCGCTCTCTTTTTTCCACGCGAGGATGTAGAACGCGACCTCGACTTGGCCTTGGTATGGTTGCGCCTCGAACTCAGTGAACGAACAATAGAATCATCTTCATCTTCTGACGACAGAATGACGACGTAGTTTCGCTTTGCCATATCATATAACCCCTTTTTCAAATTTTATTTTAGGGATTTGTGGCAAAAAGGGATAAATTAGTCGTTGAGTTTCACAAGACCCTGCCGATTGCACGAAAAGAAACCTTGGCCGGGAAATGAAATGGAAAACCCCAACATGGTGGACTGCCAAATGCGAAGGTTCGCGGGTTTTTTCATTTTTTTTAAGACAATATTGAGATGGCTTAGGGGAGAAGCCTTCGGCGTTGGTGAGTCCCGGCCACTGGGCCTCGTCGTATTGTTGGGCCAGTCCAGCCCAACCTCACCTAAATTGGTTTTATTCGAATTAAGATGACTAATAAAAATATACTATTTAATATTTTTAAATATATTTTTATTGAATAAAATTTATTAAAAAATAAGAGAGTATAAAATTAAATTAATAAATTAAAAATTAAAAACTATATATTTTTTATAAATTTTATAAATTTTAATTAATTATTAAATATATTAAAAAAAAGGTATTTATTACTATCATTTATCTTTAAATCAATAGCTTATCTTTGTGATAAATCAGTGATTGAATCTACTGGATCGATGGAATTGGCTTATAAATTAACCCAATATATTAAAAATTCCTTAAAATTGTAAAACAAATACAAAATTCAAAAATGTTATAATATTTTTATTTAATTAAAATTTTGGTCATATACTTTAATTTATGTGTAATTTTTGTTTTATTAATTTTAATTGTTCACATTTAGTCTATGTAATTCTGTAACTGCTCAAATTAAATTCTTTATTCCAAAATTTATTTTATTTTGTATTTTTATATTTATATTTTTTATATTTTTCTTTACTTATTTATATAAATTAATAAATATGATATAATATCTTCATTATATTTTTATGAATAATTGAATAAAATTTTAGAGTAAAAAACTAAATGAAATAATTAAAATTAGAAAGATCAAAGTCACAAATAAAATAAAGAATAGGAACCAAAAGAAAAATTAAGTCAATTTGTTATTATCATTTAATAGTTAATATTACTAACCAGTCATTGAATTATTAAAAAATTTATATTTTTTTCATTACCATTTAGTAGATAGTATTATTAATTAATTGTTAAAAGGTCAAATTACTTTCAAAATATGAAAATAAATATAAGCATTACTCGCTAATTATTGTTCAATCCATTTTATATATTTTATTCATGTATTTTTTATTTTAACTTTTTCTTGTGCTTTTTTTTTTTCTAATTTAAACTAGAGATATCCATACTTTAAAAGAGATAACCATTCTCGAATTAAAAAATAATAATAACATGTTAAAAATAATTCAATAGAGTTTCTGTATACACAAAATTCAAACCTGAAACATTTTTATTTTTTTTTGAAGAATCAAAACGTATTATTTGAATTAACCGTCGTTGGTATGTGTTCTTTAAAAGAATAACATATTTACTTTAAAGTAAATATTTTGCTCATGGATTAGATGTACTCTTTTCACAAGAGATGAAATAACATTCATCAAAATTTCTAACCATTTTAGATGTTAAGAATAACATAATTATTCATTAAATTTTTTTTTTATCATCCTATTGATTTTTCTCCTTTCCTTTTTGTAATTTTGAATTTCTTACCCATACATTACATATGCAAAGTTAGGAGAAAAAAACTTACTAAAAAATTGTAAAATAGCCCAGCACAAAACCTTCAACCTTCAAAGAATAGTTCTTAAAAGATTAAATACATATTATATTGCTTAATTAGAAATTAAAATTCAATTTAAAATTTCCAAATGATGATTCTATAATTCAGATTAGTTAGACTACTAAGTTTGAAGTGTTTAAGCTAATCAATTTTTTTACCTTATTTTCAAGGACACATATCAAGAATCTATGTATAATAATTTTTTTTTCAAATCATAGAATAACAAATAATTTAATTAATTGTTTAATAATATTAAATATTATAATATTTAATAAAATTTTATTGTTTATTGATTATTTATTGTATGTCCTTAGACATATTGTTGTGGTTAATTTTTGTTAGTTGTTGAAACTTTCAATAAAATGCAAAAATATTTTATCTTTTTTATATATTCATTCTTCTTCTTCTCCAACAACCTTATATGTATGAGTGAGTGAGATATTTCTCGAACAAATTAGTATCTAGAGCAAGAGGTCTAGGGACCTATGAGTATTGTCATGGTTTTCCGTCAACATGAGTATAAATGTCATGTACATCTTACCAATCTTAAATAGTAAGAACTGTGATAAGTGGATTGTGAGAACGGAAGTCAAACCAAAAAATCCTAAAAATCGTGAAAGGAGTTCAAATAGCAGAAAGAAATGAAGTTGCATGCAAGAAGAATGTGTGAAACTTAATTTAGCTTTTGTTGTTGGTGTAATTAGTAGATTCATGAGTGAGCAAAGAAGTCTCACTTGTTAGCTGCTAAGAGGTATCAAATATGTAAAAGGTTCTTTGAACTATGATACTATATTTCCTATGAGAACAAAAGAGAAGACAACAAAGTTGATAAAATATTCTAACTCTACTTAGTGTGGGGACAAAAGTGATAGGAAAAAACACCACTAGATATCTATTTAAGTTCCTTGGAACATCAATTTCACGGTGTCCTAAGGAGCAATTTGTGGTAGTTCTAATAAGTTTGTATTTTGACATGCTTTTATAGCCTATTTATTTATGTATGGTCATTATATTAATTTAGTTTTATGTTGATTTATCTATTAATTATGAAATTTAGTATAAAAAGGCCACAGTTGAGTTTTTGGGCATTTTTTGCCCAAATTGGTTGAAAAATAGGATTTTAGTCAGCACATCCAGACCTCAACAACCAGCACGAAAGTGCTTCAACCACATGCACGGTTGTGCTCACCTTTGGCAAGCTTAATTATAAAGAGATTTTAGGATTTTCAAACCCTATTAAAAGATACCTCAAGGGCAGCAACGAGGCATCCTATTCATTATCCTGTTTACAAGTTGTTTTGACTTTATTTCCACCTCATCCTTCCACACCCCTGAGTCATCTCTTTCATCACATTCTTGGTGGAACTTGGAGTTTTGAGCAACTATACTTGAAAACTAGGAACTCATCTCATCCCTCAACCCTAAGAGACATTCTAATTTGCTATTTTTTTTTTACTATGGCTTTATTTATGATTGTTTTATTTATTTTCTTTAACATGAGTAACCAAGTCTATAGTTAGGGTTATGAAAATTCTTGTTCATGAATTTATGAGATTTTGATGTTTGAATCTAAATTTAATTTTCATCTGTGATTAATGTTTATCTTATTGCACATAATTGTATGTTGTGAATTGATCAATTGTAACATAACAATGGTTAATTATATCGTTAGGCAACCATACCTCGATTACTTAATGGATCTCTAGTAAAATATAAGGCAAATGATTAGGTGAACCAAACTAATTTTTCTCTTCCAATCGTTATTAAATTAACAAGTTCATAAGTGCTTTATGCATTCTTAAATTGATATATTGGATGACCATTATGGATATTAATTTAGAAAAAAAAATTATTAATATTACATGATCATTGAGCATTGATAGTATTTGTATGAATTATTAGTAATCATAAAGAAATCAAATTTAGAGTCAAACAGAAAAATAACATAAAGAATTGAATGAGTAAACTCACATGTCTTAAGTTCCTTTCCTATAAGTTTAACCAAGAAGTATGTTACATTACTTGCTCTTAATTTTAGTGATAATTGATTTAATTTTAATCCTTGTTTTTATTTTTACATCCTTTAAGTTCAAATTATTAGAGTTAAGAAATTTTTGGTACTTGAAACAATCCTTGTGTGATGATAATTCAAGAACTTATTTTAAAATATTTTATTACTTTTCAACGGTACACTTGCTCACAAACAAACTCTATCTACCTTTGAGTCAAAATACATTGCAATATCTTTTGTTGCTTGTCAAGCAATTTGGATAGACTTATTGTTGCATGAACTTAAAATTGAAGTTGACAAGCATGTGAAGTTGTTGGTTGACAACAAATCAACCATTAATCTGGCAAAAAATCTAGTGTCTCACGGGAGAAGCAAGCTCATTGAGACAGGGTTTCACTTTTTACAAGAGCAAGTCAATACTGAAAAGCTTGAAGTAGTTTATTGCATAACTAAAGCTCAATTGGCAAATATTTTAACTAAGGCATTAAGATTTGACAGGTTCGTAAAGTTAAAGAATAAGTTAGGAATTGTTTCCATGAGAACTTGGATTAAGGGAGAGTATATGGTTAATCCAAGTGTGTGGTAGTTAGTTGTATTGTTAATTAATTTATGTTAGTTGTTGAAATTGCTTTTGTCTTTAGTTAACACTATATTTTCAAAGTGCTGAACTTTTAATAAAATACACAAGCATTTTATCTTTCTTATTCATAATTTATTCGCCTTCTTTTTAAACAAACACATGTTTGTGAGTGTGAATGAAATATTTCTATAAAAAAAATCATAAATTAATAGACTCAACGAGTTAATATAATTTAGAAAAGAAAAAAAAACAAACATGGTATGAATAGTAGCAAGAGAATACTAGAATTCTTTAGCCTACCTATAACATAGTAGGAGACTACAATGAGGATAACTTATATAGGTTGTTGGTGATGAGGTAGCATTGAAGTAAGGAGGCATTGATTTCAAAACCTAAGGTGACATTATGTATTCTTAAGGGCTTAATATTGTGGAGTTGTGAATCAAAAACCATGAGATACGTAGGTGGAGGTTAGAATGGGTAGTGGAAAGTTGGCATATAACGTTTCAATAGATTTGGATTTCTATATATGTTTGGGATAGGTTGAAGGTTAAATTGCAAGATACTTGGAAGTTGAAGTTACTATGGTCCTAACATTTGTGTTAGGTTTTATTTAGTTTAAAGAGGAAAATGGGTCATAAAAAATCATTGAAAATAATTGCTTGCTTGCATTATAATATGTAATAACAGGTTTTAATTGAAGATATTTGAAAGAAACTCTTGTTCATCGAAGCATTTTAACGTTTTGTTTCATATCATCATGTGCATTGTTTTAAATTTGATAACTCGTTATCTTTCAATATTGTAAGCCTTATAAATATTTGCAGCTTAACTCAATTTAGCAAACTGTAGAAAATTTCAAATAATCTTATAAGCAAATATGGAGGCAGGTTCTTTTTAATTACTACTATTTTTTTTTACTCTTGATGATAATGTCTTGCTTGTAGGATTAAAAAAAAAAAACTC